TGAGATGAATGCGTGGATGTGTAGATACGGGATCGGCAATACCGATCCTACCGACTGCGCCAATTGTTGTGACCACTGTTTAGATCGAAAGCGTTGATCACAAACAATGTATCGATAATCGAGTTTGACTACCGATACGGGAGTTATATAGCGAATGAGAGGTTGTATGAGAGCGGGTGTGAGAGTATGTGTCCGTTTGGGCACTGATTGTATGAATGAGTAGTCGTATCGAGTTTAACACAAATGAAATGATTTATTGAATTGAATTAAGACTTGGATTTAGTATTGAGTTAACGTTTGAATAGTAATTAGATTTAGATTGAGTTTGAATTGGATTTGAATAGAGTTTGAGTTAGAGTTAGGATTAGAGTTAGAGTTTGAATGAGTGTTTGAGTCGACTGTTCTCAACGAGTGTTAGACAGAGACTGAGGGTTAGAGTGAGTGAAAGCATTGGTTTAGTGAGTGAAAGGCTAGAGTGAGGATTAATGGCGGATAAGGTTTACACATAAAGTTTGTATGAATAAAAAGTTACATAAGTTTTATAAGAATTAATGTATGAATTTTGGATCCACGAGAATATGATTGCTATTAAATTGCATCTCAAACATAATGAACACAAATAGACAGTAATATACAACTGTATGTATCAATATTATAACAACAGATATAACAATGAGCTAATAATGATATCAGTTTATTATATAATAAGCTATACCAGCTTAAACTACCTGTCAATTATAACGTGGTAGGTGTTGTTGTGACACATGCTGTGAAACACTGAATTCCTGTCACACTTTTTGCATTATTCTGTTTCCGTCTCTAAAATATCTGTCACTCAAAGCAAAGTATATGAAGAGTTGTACTAAAGTGCACTACAAATGTCATAGACTTTGCAACGATCCTGGTATTAGTTTCTCGATCACATGTTTGCCTATTAGGGATGAAGAATTCAGTGAAACTTTTACTATGATGAATATACTGTATATCCAAAACAAATAATTACATATTTATTTAGATAATTTCCAAATTTCTAGAATCTAGTTTTCTAAATACTCTTAAAGGTTCTATGAGTTACTCTTAACTTTAATTTAAATTGATCTTTAGACTAAATAATTAATAATAATAAAAATAATTGTCAATAATATATTTATACAAATAAAATGTTATAAATTGTATTTTTAAATGTAATTTTTTTCTAAATAGATTTTAATTGTATTTATTCAATTGTTAGAATATTATATTATATTTAAATAATATATTTAGAAAACATTATATAAAGAAATAACAATAAAATTTAAAAAATTAAACTGTTAATTGTCTCAGATAATTTATCTGGGAAACTTAAAAGTATTAAATTTAGACATTTACAAATTTTTACAATCGAAATTTTTTTTATCGCGGAGGATGTTTACCTGTAAAGTAAATGGGATAAAATGTACTACCATGTGGATTATTTAGGAATTTTGAGATTAAATAAGTTAATAAACAATGATTGTTCGTGTATTACAAGTACTAACAGTAATCGCCTACTCATTGGCTTTAATGACAATTTATTTAATGTTTTGATTATATTGGGCTAAATGATAATGAATTATATTAGCCCAGTTGCCGTGTAGCTAGAATCTTGGATAACCAGAGTAATAAATCCGAGTGTAAGTATCCGTGGTCTTAGGCTCAAAGTAGTTTTAGCATATGAATAACAACTGTGTCCTTAAAATTGAATGAAGTAGGGCAAAACAATGTATTCCTATGGGAGGGTACCAGTTTTCGTATTTACCGACGGTTGAAATCGTAGTAAAATTAACCACGCTCAAACAATAATAGACATAATACAAAATGGTTACTCTTGTGAAAACTACATCATGTATGGAATCTAACCATAGTCTACTCATTGGTCAACATTGACCGCTACCCCAACTGTGGCCACACAAAAATCAGTAATTAACCTGATTGGCGGCCTGTGTTCGGTCGGTTCGCAATTGATTCCCGTTATAATCGATGTCATGATATCTACACTAAACTAATGTCTGATAACTAATAGTGAATCCCAATAACCAAATAAGCACTTCAAACACATCTTTGATAAAAATATTTTCACTTTAAAAATGTGATAATTTTTCGTCAAATATTTTGTTGTAAATTTTTCAAAATAATTCCGACCGACAAACTTTGAAAAAATCCTGTTCATAAACTATTCATCCAATCTTGATGAAACTTGGATTCTGGTGCCTAGAGATGTCAACTTAAATTATAAAACCAATTTCAGAATTCTAACTACACGGCAACTGGGCTAAGCTAATACAATATCATTTAGCCCAATAATTATATTGTTATATCTAAAATAAAATATTATAATTTTGTTTTAAATTGAAAGTAACTTCTAGTAAAATTATATTATAACTGATTATAATTAATTTAAATATTATTTGCATTGATATATTGATT